GAAAGCTTCACTCAGGTCAGGCAGCAGCAGCAAAATTTGGGGTGGCAGCAGCTCCCCCCCCATAGGCCCCCCCATGCTCTCCAGATGAGCCACGCCTTCATCCACTGCCCTACCCTGGATATATCATTAGCATAATATATCAAGAATATGGTTCTGGAGAGTAAACTAACAAAGCAAGTGAAATTCTGTTCACTGAAGTTTATCAGCTCTATCACTGTGAAAACAAGACAAACAGCCTCAGCACCACAAGTCCAATGAACAAAGAGTTTTTCTCTTCAAGTCTGTTCACAGCATCAGAAGTAGGCTGTTACCTACGATAGCTTAGGCCTCTCAGAATGAGTTAGTCCCTACTATACCATGCTGCCTTGCTTTCTGCCACTTCTAATGAAGTCAAGGAAATTCTATCTGCTTGGCCAGGACTAAATTTGATCTTGCAACTTGGCATCATTACTTGTAATGGGTATCTGATAAACTAATCTTTTCCACTGCCCACTAAGACACTATTTCCTTGCATACAAATTGACACATCCCGAGTTTGATTGGCAAGTAGGACATCTGCTTTTCCCTCTGTTCACTCATGTAACTTATATATTTTATATAATATTACAAAATGAAAGATACCTTAGTCCTTGGATCAAGATATCAATGTCTACATATAGACATGTAGGTAACTTGACAAACCTTTGTTTTGCACCCATTACTGGAGCCATTATCATAAGGTTTATATTTTCCCTCTTCTAGGTTAGAAATATCACAGGTAGAGAGCCATGACAAAAATTCTAAGTAGGAAGCTATGTCCTACTTATTTGTCTCAAAACTACCACTCATTTATACTTAGAACATTTTACCAGGATATATATACACAACTGATGCAGTGCTCCCTTCAGCTGTTGCAACTTCTAATGGCCAAAGTGTGCTTTCTGCTGTTCTCCCAAGCTTCCAAGAGAAATAAACTACACTGGTAAAAGAACAGCTTTGCCCATTATGCTGTGCTCATTCGAGGGCATTTTTCCAACAAAGCTATGTATGTCACAGGTTGAACTTAATCTGAACCATATAACTTTTACTAGTAGAAGTCAGCTCCACAGAACTGGTCCCAAACTCCATAGGTTATATACTCATGCTGATGTATTCAGGGTAGATTTAAAAAACCCCATTTTTTAAAAATCAATTTTAATTGGATTTTTGTTTTAAACAGTAAATAATAAACATTAAATCTGTTTCAAATTAAATATAGAAATATGGGCAAGGTTTAACTACATTAAACCATTAGAATAAATAAGATATACTGAAATTAAAATATGAAGTCTAGAAAAGAGGCTAAGAGAACATGAAGCTTGTAGCATTTACACAGAATGCTCATTTGATGTCTCTTTTAGTATTTTAGTCAAAAACAAATGCTTTGGGAATAAAGACAATTATAAAAATCATAAAATACTCATGCAATAATTATTTTGCTTCAGCATTAGTCAAGAGAGAGCAGCAATCAAAACAAATTACCACTCAAGGTGTAAGAAAAATTTCAGGAGCTATTTATTACAAACAGGATGGCACTTTATAGAGCAAGTAGTGACAACATAGGCAGAAATATCACAGTTAAATGAGTCAGTATCAGACCAAAGACAAACAACAGGCATGCAACATATACTGAAGCCAGTTACCACAGCTTTGGACAAGTTGTAAAAAGATACATAAATGTTCTTTACTACTGTACGTCACTAAAGATAGGTGGTTTTATTTATCTTAAATCATACTGGGCTGTACTGCCAGCCATAAACTAATACTATTCTCAGACAGAAAACTATATTGAGTTCAGGTTGAAAGTACACATAAGTAACTTAAGACAAAACAGGATGCTGCAACAATCCCTAAACCCAGCATTATAAAACCAGGGCTAACCTCCACCTTTGAAAAAAGTAAAAAATACTGAGGTAAAAGTAAAACATATTGCTACATAAGTAGCAGCATATTGGGTCAGACCAAAGAACCACTGAGCCCAGCAGTCTGTCTTCAAGTGGCAAATAGCAGATATTTTAGAGCAGGGATACTCAAACCCTGGCCCATGGGCTAGATCCAGCCCAAGAAGCAATACCATCTGGCCTGCAGAGGTCTCAACAGGTCTGAAAATTTGGTGGTGGGGGAAGCAGTGGCAGCAATCACTGCTCTCCTGCTGCAAAATTTCCAGACCCATAAAGCAATCCACAGGCCAGATAGCTTGCTAGGTCCAAGCACAGGGGCCAGCTGCAAATGGTGCAGGGCCTGATCCTGCAGCACACAGCCCCAATCTGGTAGGACTCCAAGAAGTGATGCAGGCCCTGAGAAATGATGATGCCCTGCACAGGGCTGAGGAAGGTTGCACAGGGTCCCAATATGGCTGTGGGAGGTAGTGGGGGTCCCAATTCATCAATGTGGGGCTGAGGAAGGTGGCACAGGGCCTGACCCTAGGGGGCCGGGCCTGATCAGACCCTTGGAAAGGCCCCTTATCTGGCTCACAGCATCACAAGGCTGAGCACGACTGGTTTAGAACAGTGATTCTCAACCAGGATGCTACACCAACCTGAGGTGCTTTGAGATCCTTTCAAGCGAGCCACAGGGAGCCATGCAACGCGAATACTGTTGGGGTTGCAAACGTAATTCATAAGATAAACCCAGAGATTTTGAACACAAATCCAGAGCGTTCAAAACATTTCTGCCCTGTTGTGGTCTTTCCGAGTTCTCTGCAACAGAAAAATTAATCGCTCTATTATTTTCCATAGTCAAAAAATTAGGGCAAGCTAAAAGCTGGCATTTTCCAAGAGGTTCCTTGAAAACTACTGCTACAAAGGTTGAAAACAATTTCTTTAGAAGAGTATGAGAAACAGGACATTTATGGTGATCCATTCCAGCTCATCCTCCCAGTTACCAGCAAACATCAGTTTAGGGATGTACTATGCCTGAGTTCACATCCCTGACAGCTGTGTTTAGTTGTCCAATTCTACACATTTTTCTATTCCCTTTTTGACCCCAGTTATGGTAGTGATCCCCACCGTGTACTGTAGCCATGAACTCCTCAAGCTAGTTACACATAGCTTGAGCCATGGTTCACCTCAAGCTAGTTACCAGCAGGGGTGGGCCATTATTTCAGCTGGAGAGCTACTTAATGAGTTTCAGTGAGCTGTCAAGCATTGGATGCACTGAACCTTTTAGAAGGGAACATTTTAACAAAATTATAGATAAAAACAAATCATATACTAAAAATCAAATATCTACTATATTTTAATTTTATTTAAAAATATTGGTCTTGATTTGTTTTTTGAATAGTGTATATAGAAGTGATTGCATAACAGCTCAAAATAATATCTTATTCTTGCGTGGGGCAGGGAGTGTGGGGAGGGTATGCCAGAGTCCCAGAAGCCAGCTGGCAGTAGGGGGAGGGAAGGGGTACATGCAGCAGAGCTCATCCAGACAGTGCAGTGTGGTCCCCACCCTGCATATAGCCTGTGGCTGTCTCTGCAGCACTCTGCATGGGGCCAAGACCCGCCTGCTCCCACCCGGGACAGCCCCACACCTGTCAGTCAGCACCACCATAGCCTGGGCCCTGGCCTGTATTTATAGCTTCCCTGCAGAGCTGCTGCCACAGCTACCCAGGTACTGCTCAGATCCCCTTGCCTCCAGTGGCTCCTCCTGTCCCTCTGGGCAGCATGTAATGCAGGGAAGCTGTGCAGATGTATGCCAAGCAGTATATGTTAAGCCAGGTGGGGGGAAACTGCAGCTGGGCAGCTCCTGCCCCAGCATTTGGGGCTCCAGCTCCCTGCCACACATTTGGCCACCCACAGGTGGCTGGCTACTCAATGCTCTGGGTGGGCAGAGCAGGTGGACAGCAGCAGGGAGCTGGAGTCCTGTGCACTGGGGCAGGAGCCACTTGGCTGCAGCCTCCCTCACCACCTTGGCATCTACTACCTGGCATGCACCTCCACGGCTTCCCCACATTACCTGCTTCCCAGAGTGGCACAGCAGGGGTACAAGGAGGAGCTGGTGGAAGCAGGGGGAGCTGAGCAGTATGTAGGAGGCAGCAGCAGCAGCCCCACCAGGAAGCGCTGCATGCTGGCTGGAGCTGGGACTGGGGTGGTGCTGTCTGGCAAGCATGGGTGGGAGCACAGTGCGGGCTGCCTTGGCCAGAGCTCAAGCCTGCACGGAGTGCTGTGAGGGCAGTCACAAACTAGAGACAATCAACTGGCAGGAACCTATCCACAGGGTGGATCCAATCAGCCAGCAGGCCATATTTTGCCTGCTCCTACTACCAATAGATACTTCATTTTGTTTAAATCCTGACAATTTCATTGGGTGCTCTCTAGTTCTCATATTAGAAGACAAAGCTAACTGCAGATTTTCTAGTCACTTCTACACTATTCACTATTTTATAAACTTCTATCAAACCCCAACTCAATCATCCTTTTCTAAGCTGAAAAGTTCTAGCCTTTTTAGTCTTCTCACATGGAAGCCATCCCAGATTCCCAATTTGGTTGTTCTTCTCTGTACCTGTTGCTGTTGTTCTGTGCTGCATACTGCATTCAACAGGTGGCTGAACAATAGCTTTATATAAATGGAATAATGATGTTTCCAGTTCCTTTTCTAAGGATCCCTAATAAGCCATTGGCCTTTTTGACCACAACTGTACATTAAACCAATGACTTCTAAAAAACTATCCAGAATGCCTCCAACCTTTCCTCAAGTGACAAGAAATAATTCAGAGCTAACTACTGTTTCTGTATAGTCTTTGTTATTTTCTCCTCCATACAAGTTATTTCGGGTTCAATGTCAAATGTCATCCATCCCTTAATTACCTGAGCATTCTGTTTTGAGAAATCTTTCTGAAACTCTTCATCATCATCTTTATATTTCACTAACAAGAATAATTTTGTATTATCTGCAAACATAAGTCTTTGCTGCGTTTCCCAGATCACTTATGACTATGAGAAATAATACATATTTCAGAACAGGGTCTTGGAAGTACCCTACCATCTTCCTCCATTGTGAAAAAGTAACTACTTAATCCTCCTTATTGCTTCCTACCTTTTAACCAGCTTTCAGTCCATGAGAGGACCTTCTCTCTGATCACATTACAGCTGAATTACTTTAAAAGCTTTTGATGAGGAACTCTGGGGTATACTGTATTAATTGGAGTCTCTTTATTCATGTGTTTGTTGACTCCCCACCCCACTCTTGCAGGTGAGTAGGTTTGCTTTTTCCTTCCTTATGTGCTTCTGTTATAGGGCAGGCTCAAACACCAAAAACCTGGATAGTTTTCTGAATGCATTAAATAAAAGTGTTGAAGACAAGTTATTTCAGCTGTGACTGATAGTGTATACTGACCATGTGAAAAAAAAAGGCTTCAGTACCCAAGTCACATAACATGGCTTCCCTGAAATATATTACTGGAGTTGTTAAAGTTGCACAATAATTTGTGGGGACAAAAAAGTGATTAATGAGATCAAACTATCATGGTCAAGCTAGTTGACATCAGAACAAAGACAAATAGAGAAGCCATTGCAAAAGTTCTTCTTCCAGCATAATTGTGCAATATACTTATTTGAGACACAAACCATGCTTTCATCACGACCCTAACAAAACAGAGGTACTAGAATGTGAACTCCGTTATTGATCTTCTGAAGTTTTGGCCTTCAATATTTGGAGACAAAACCAATTATTCAGCACCTGAAAGAAATCAGCTTTCCTAATGATACTGGTAATTTGGCTGGAGCAGTTTCCATAGATTAAAGCCAGGAAATGGGTGGGACTGCCTACAGCACAGTGAAGGACAAATGCAAAAAGAATAGGAACTGGTCAGGGATTTAACCACAAACAACAGCTGGAAACAGCTAGAAACAAGGAGGTTGTAGTAATGTTGTGGCCCCTTGACAGTTCAGGCAACGCTGGACCAGTGGGCAGGGCTGGGACAGACTTTGGCCACACTTTTGAACAACGATAACCTGAAGGAAGGGGATGTGCTGTATTCAAAAGCGGGTTGAAGCCTGTCCCAAAAACCCTTGCCTTCAGATGCGATGGGGACATGGAGGCTGCAGAGCCAAGGAAAGTCACTCCCCCACTCACTGCTGGATGAGGCAACCTTAAGCCTCCCCCCCAGAGCCAAATAGCATTGCCAGGTCTTTAATATTAAATTACGACATTGGAAGCTCAAAATTATCCTATTTGCTTTAAAACTACCACACACTGAAAGAGTGCTAATAAAGCTGTCATCTTATTTACTTTATATTGCTCACTAACTCAGCAGTGAGTGAGAATTGGGTCTAAGCTGCAGCATTTCTTTACTTTGAGGCAAGAAATCATAACTAAGTGCTGACAACAAGCCCCAAAGTCAGTTAAAACTCCCTGAGAATGACTTGGGTTTTTGCATATATTGCATCAATTAGCTGCCTCAAATTATCGGGGGTACAGGTTGTAGCTATGTTGGTCTAAAGACAGATGCAGACAAGGTTCTTTGGGTAAATCTGATATCTTTTATTAAGCCAACTCAAACAGTTGGACAAGCTTTTTTTTTTGCAAAGCAGGCCAGACCAATATGGCTACCAAATACATCCCTGAAACATGGAAAATACTGTATTTTAGCTGATTTTGGAATTATAAACTTCACTGCTAAACAAGAAAGAAAGATTTCTACATGTCCCTGCTGTTATGTCATCTGACACCACCTGGGCAGAAATCCTGCCTTATCTGCACACCAAAGGACAACTCACACAAAGGAACTCTCATGGATCCAGAGGAGCATACACCCAACTTCAGCTTCCTCTGTGCAAAATGAAATTTATTTTCTACCTAAGGGGACTTTTCTGTCTTTCCCTGAAAGCTTGCAAAGAAAGGTAATTTTTTTGCGATTTCTTAGTTGGTCCAATAAAAGGTATCATCTCTGATCAAGTTTTAGAGTTTTGCATTTTTTTAGGGGTGCATCAACAGAGATTTTGGGGGCCAATACTAATAGCAGATTTTTAAGGAGGCATATCAGCCGATACCCATCTGATTTCCAATACAGCTGTGTGCAGCTGGTAAGTCTACTATGGTGGATGGGGGGCAAGGATCAATGCCCACTGCAATGAGGGAGGAACTGGGGCAGGGTGGGACAGGGCTGCAGCTCAACCGGAAGGGCATGGGTCCACGTGCCCCAGATCGGCGCTGGGGGGGTGGGGGCAAGAGGGGCTGAGGCTGGGGCTGTACTGGGTTCTTCCCGGTGCGGGTGGCAATGGTGCTGAGAGGGGGGTTACAGGGAAGGAGCTTCAACCACCCCAAATTTTGCTGTAGCCACTTCCCAGTGCCACTGCCACCCACCCTGAACAGTTTTGAGTGCAACCCCCACATGTCGGGAAGAAACTGGCACAGCCCTGGCCCCAGCCCCCCGGTGCAGTTCTGGGGCATATGGATCCCCCCACCCCATGCTCCCCTGGCTACACACAGTGGCACCCCCTTCACCCTGCAGTCCCTGAATGAGCCGCAGCACCGTCCTGTGCCTGTCCTACCCTAGCTGGGCAGCACCTGCCCCAGCCCCACTCCATCCCTCATGGCAGGGGGCATTTACCTGCCCTGCCCCCCCCCCCACCCCTTCCTTCTCCCCTCCCTGCAATAGACTTACCAGCTAGAGGCAGCTCTCCACGCTGCCCGGATGTGCTCCTCACTGCCTGCGTGCTGTGGCTGCGTACGCATGCCTGGACATTTATTTGCCAAATTATCAGCCACTTCAAGCCCATTTCCAATGCAATCAATTTTCTATACATTGGTGCGGATCAGATATCTGACCCATTTATTGGTGCACCTCCAATTTCCTTTCGTACACTTTAAGCACTTTTACACCTTGGAGGATGGAAGTGATCATACATTAAATGATTATTATTGCACACCTGGCAACACCGAGGCCAAGGGAGGAGGCGCAGGCTCTGTCCCCTTGCTCCCCATGTTTCCGGCCCTGCACTGGGCACAAACTCTGAAGGGGGGTGTCTGCAGCCAGGAAGGAAAGGAAAGGTGTCTAGGGGGCGAGCAGACTGTGGAGAGGAACACTGCGCAGGCCCCCACCCAGCCTAAGATGACCCCACCTCCGTCAGCAGCCATTTCCTGTGGGGGCGGGGCAGGGGGCGCATGGGCCGTTAACGGAAAATACTTCCAACGTTCCCTCTCGCCCCCCACCTCTCCCCGGGGCGCGGAGCAATCCCCAGCCGGTCACGTGGCCCCTGCCCCGCTCAGGGACCGGGCGGAACGGGGGTGGGGGTGGGAGCGTCTGCTCGGAGCGGGGGCTCACCTCCAAACCGGCTTCTTTTGGATGCCGCCGTACAATTGGCCGCGGCCGGCAGCAGCACCGGGGTCCACGCGCAGCGGAGTTGGGGCAACATAGCTCGGCCGTAACGGCCCACAGCATACAGGGACGCAACGGCGGCCGCCATGTTCGCGCCTTGCGCATGCGGTCAGGAACCGACGGGGGCCCGAAGCAGCCAAAGAGGTTGAAAGGGCGCAGCGATGGGGTTGTGTGCCTGCGCGGAGCCCGGCCGGCGAGCGTCCAGACTAGGAGCGCCAGGGTTCGCTGAGGGACAAAGGGAGGAGAGAGCGGGAGCACTGCGGCAGCTCTGAAGATTTCATAAATGAGAGACAACGACTCATTAATCAATCATGATCGATGATTAATTACTAGTACTCATTAATAACAAGTTACCAAAAATTATCAATACTCAACCATTAGCAAGTAATTATCGACAAGCAGTTGTTAATTCAATTAGAAAAAATTAATAGCTAGTTAAAAGTATCAACATAATCATTTGTTAAACCATTAGCAGTTAATCGTTAAATAATTAACATGTAATTATTAGATCGACAGCTACTCAATGGTTAACGCTTAATTAAATTATTAACAAGTAATCATGAATAAAGGCATAAACAAGGATTAGGCAAATCAGCAACTAAGCATTAGTTGAATTATTGACAATTAAATATTAATGGAGTTATTAATGGCTAATCATTAATACACCAGCAATCGTTAATAACTAACTAATCACTTGATCATTAATTATCATTTAATCTTTGATTAATTATTATTTTTTCCAGCATTTTTAGAAGAGGGATGGGAAGAAATATGAAAGCAAAGCAGTTTGCTGTCCAGGCACAAGAAGCTCCCCATCTCTTCCCATTACAGTGCACTGGTAGCCAGGACCCCCCTCCCACCTGCTGTTGCCAACTTCCAGGATTTTGCCACAGCTCTTCCAAGGCTGTCATTTTCTTTTAAACCTACCTCCAGGTCCTGCTTTCATGCAGTGAGGTAGGTTGGTTTGTTTGTTTTATTTTTCACATTTTAAAACCAAGTTTCTAGGCCTCCAGGACAAGCAGAACAGCTTGATAAACGTAGCTGGGGACAGCAGTTTCCCCCAGTGGGGCACAATAGGAGCCTTTTATGGGTACCACCCAAGGTTAGTGCGAGGGTGATGTTACAGGGAGGATGGTCCAGGATTAGTGCACAAGGCAAGGAGTTTTCAGGGTGATATATTTTTTATTGGGCCAACTGCATAGCTGACATCAAGTTGAACAAGCTGTCGAGGAGGAAAGAAAAACCAGTGATTTTTAAGAACAGTGGATAGAGCTTGTGAAATTGGCGGGGGGGAGAAGTTCCTAGGTGTATCAGATGAACACTTAGCAGAGGAAAAGTTTGATTATTGGAAGACCAAGACCTATCAAGAAGGGAGAGGAGTCATCACCTGTAACATGTAGAGATCAGGTAGATTATAGTGCATCACAATTAATATCAAGTCCTTGGTTTTTAGTGTCCAGCCAGTTTACAAATTTGTTCCCAAGCTCTGTTCTTAAGAGTGTTTGGTACATTTCCTTTAACCGCAGGCAGAGCTAGCTTTATTAGCGGTGGGCCACCACCCTGGGCACTCGGGCAGGAGGGGCTGTGATGCCCCCAGTGGTCACTCAGCTACAGGTTGGTCCACCCTTCTCCCCCTTATATGCCCATCAGGCTTTGATGTTCTGGTCTCCTCCGCTGGCTTGCTGGTTAATTACGTGTCTCCAGGTACCCACATAGGTTTGTTGACCTTCCCAGCCTCAACCCCTTTTCTTGCCAAGCTGGTTCCTATAGCTTAGGCCCACTGCACCAGGCCTAGCTTCTGGGTCCCTACCTTGTCCCAGCCTCCCTTGGGCCTAGTCTGCCCTGCACCAGGCTCACTGGCTCCTCATTTCTGCCCCACCTTGAGCCTGCCCCCAGCAGGGCTCAAGGCAAACACATGCCCGTAGGGCGCTAATGGGGCCTCCAAACTCCCCAAACAAACTGTAGGTAAAAGATAAGCTCCTGGGCTATAACACAAATCAGTTCAACTGGGTTCAAACCTAAGCCTAACCCATGGGCTGTATTCCCCTGTAAGTCAGCAGCACCTTGCAAGCCATTCCCCAGGTAGCTGTATTATCAGCCAGGTTCCCTGCAGTAATATCAGGAGCTCTTGTTTGCAACTTCCAGGGCCAGACTGCCTTTCTTTTCCTCGGGCCTGTGTTTATATGGTTCCCTGGCCCTGCCTGCTGCTGGTCACCTGCCTCCCAGAGCTGCCACAGGTGGTTTCTGATTTGGCTTGGTGGAACAGTCTCAGGGAGGCTCCTTGTTGCTGGGACCTGTGGTTTTTCTATGCGAGCCTCTGGCCCCTGATGTTGCTGTTGCCTCTGTGGTGAGGGTTTGTTTGAGTCTGTTTTATTCTTAAGTCTACCCTTGGGGGCTTGTCTGGCCAGCAGGCTCCAGTGTTTGCTCCCCATTCTCGGTAATGGGGTAGGGGCCCTGTTGCGTGCACACATATGCATGTGCACACACATGCCATGAACACTAGGTACTGGTGCTGGCCTGGGGTATTAGGAATGGGTCTTGGTGGGATGGGGGAATTCCAGACATGGGGGCAGCAGTGGCACCTGCTCCTGCCCCAGTGAGAATCCCAGACAGGCTGGCAGCCTATCTGGCTGTAGCTAAATCTCACCTGTATGTGGCCAGTTGTATTTTAGGCCCCAGAGGAGACTCATGGCAGCCACAACGCACTAGAGGCCCCATGCCAGCACTTGCTGGCTGCTCCACAGGGCTGCAGCTGGCAGTTCCTGTCACAGGCAGATGCCCTGCCCAGCTCCCTGGCCCATTGGATGGACCTCCTCTGTAGCAGGGCAGCAGTGCCAATGACTTGTGGGGGGACAGGACACCATAGGGTGGGGGGTGCCAAAATACAAGTGTGACCAGGGCGCCATTAAAACTTACTCTGAGCACAAGCATAGTGAGGTCAGAAAGGGAGTGACTGTTCTGTGACAAATGTGCTCTTGCTGACATAGGTGCATCTCTGTCTTTTATATCGAAGTTCATTTTGGTGCATATTTGCTGTTTAGCTTCACCCACATAGTTACTAGGCCTGTGCAAAGCAGCTAGTATTTGCCTCAGATTCAGATTCGGCTGATTTGGGGGACAGTGATTCAATCTGATGATTCGAATCACTGTCCTGATTCAGTTCGGCCGGATCTTATTCAGCCAGGCCAGGCCCATCCCCTGCCCCTCTCCCAGCCCAGCATTGGCTACCCCACCCACCCCAACTCCCAGTACTTGGGGGGAAAAAAAGCCCTGGATCAGCAGGTGCTACCAGGTGGGGGGGTGATCCCCGCTGCCCCCCACTGCCCCACGCTGCATGGGGGGCTCTGCAGGAGCCTCCGAGCCACCTCCCCCAGGCCCCCCACGAGTGCCCCACATGGGCTAGCTCTGGCCCTTTAAGGAAAAAAACAACATGAAGAAACCCCTAGGACTCACTGCTGCTGCCTTGGGGCTTCAGGGGCTTGCGCAGAGCCCCCCCACATGGCGCAGGGCAGCGGGGATCGCCCCCTGCCGGCAGCAGCATTGAGTCCCTGTTCCCCCAAGCACTACCAGGAGTGACAAGAAATAATGGTCACAAGCTGGCAGAGGGTAGATTCAGGCTAGATATCAGGAGGCGCTACTTTGTTGTCAGGGCGGCCAGGATCTGGAACCAACTTCCAAGAGAAGTGGTGCTGGCTCCTACCCTGGGGGTCTTTAAGAGGAGGCTAAATGAACACCTTGCCGGGGTCATTTGACCCCAGTACTCTTTCCTGCCACGGCAGGGAGTCGGACTTGGTGATCTGTTCAGGTCCCTTCTGACCCTACCAACTATGAAACTATGAAGTATGACCCTCTTTGGAAGGTGGCTGATATATTGGACTCTGTTCAGAAAGTCTGTTGTGTCTTGTAGAAAACTTGTTATTTGCGTGATGTGGTTTCAGGATAGTTCCTATGAATCCTGATAGCTCTTCAGTGAGAGGACCACTGGGTTACTTTAGTGAGAGTGCTAGGGTTACCTTGTTTGTAAATTTTTGGGATCGTAAAAAATGTCCTGGGATAAGTGGAAGTAATTTATCGTGAAGCTGGTATGGGAAGGATTTTATGATGTTTTCTATTTCCAGAGCAAATGCTGGTATGGAGTCCTCCCCACGTTCTTAGTGTTGTCGGAGTTGTCCATTGGCCTCATTGATGTAGGCTTTATAGTTGAGAATGACTGTAGCTCCACCTTTTGTCTACTGGTTTGATTACTATTGCGTTGTTGGATCAAAGGCTTGTATGACTTTTCTCTCTGAGACAGAAAGGTCGTGGTCCTACCCTTTGTTGAGAATTTCACTTTTAACTTTCTTTCTGAAATAGTCGATGTACTAGTCCAATGTGCGGTTATGTCTGCTGGGAGGTGTCCAATCCTTTTTTCTTATTGTTATTTTTCTCAGCTGTTGCAGGAGGGTTGTCAGAGGTGGTTGTGTCTGACAGTCTGTATTACCCTGTATCTTTGACCATATCTTTGAAGAGCCACCCAGAAGCACTTCTCCACCTCCAATTTCACAGCTATATCCACTTTGAATATCACCCCAAAAAACCCTTACCCTTAGGACAATATTACCACAGTTAGGTCTGGACACATCTACACATGATTCATGAGATACACCTAGAGAACTCAAATAGGAATCCATAGAGTCAAAAAACATCCTAACCCATTGTGGTCTGAGTACTTTGCAACGGAAGAAATCCTTTAGTCTTTTTATGGAGTCAAAAATGAGAGAAAACTAAAAGCTGGCATTTTCTAAGGGGTGCTATGAGTCTAAGTTTGAGAACCAGTGACCTACATGATCTCTAAATGGCTTAGAACATTACCCTAAGATAAAGGTAAGCTGGACAGAACCTATTGGCAATGCTGTCCACAAACATTTTTTGGCTTTGGGATGTTTTTCAAGTTGGGTCTCCCTGCCATCCTGATACTGCCATATCTCTTTGTAGCTACTGAATTTAGGGTCCTGTCTATTTTTAGTTATGTTTCACCATTTTAATAAAAAATAATATTGCCCTGTCATTGTTTTAACATACTGTAAAATAATAAGTTGTATATAAAACATTGCATCTAAAACA